TTCACTGTTTAAACCAACACCTAACCAGTGCAAGTAGTTAGTCCAGTGGTTCCCAACCTTTCTTTGCCAGCGGCACACCTGGCTAAATATATATGACAAATATTTGAATTTTGCAAAATGACGGCATACAACCATAGACACATAGAGTGACTCAAACTAAATAAAGAAAGACGCAGCTACGAACTTACCAGTGAATATTCAATTGGGATCACTTGGTTTTTCGCAATTTCTTAGTGTACCGTTCCAAATTTCAAAATATAATGCCTGTCAACAACCCAACTTACCATAGGTGGAAGGAAGAGGACGGTAAACTGCTCCCCATTTGGACCACGCTGTCCCTCGCCAAGAATCTGTTCAACCTGGATATGAAGTGCACTTGCCCAATTACCTGCTCTCGGTGCGAATGCGTGACGACAAAGTTGAAGAGCCCACGCCAGTGTAAGTGCATATGCGAGAAGTAGCTGGACTAGAAGAATTTCCAATACTAACATGTATATAGGGGTCTTGGGTAATCTGTTAGCCATTTTCTTATTAAATGTATTGTTCAAGGAGTTTTTTCAAGCAATTATGTAAGAATTTACTTGGAAGTAGGACTCAATATAAGAAAAGATATGCTCATGTTTATTTTATTTTTATTCAATTACCCATGCATGCAAACCTAGGTATAGAGACCAAAATCACCATTCTAGGTTCAATAGTATAAAAGTTATGCGACGTAATGCGAAAAAAGCTGGAAATTGGGAGCCATCTTGGATTTTAGCGGCCATTTTGAATTTGTTTATCTGAATGCTTGACACTCGAAACAGAATTGTTCTATAGACCCTTACTTTCAAATTGGTACTTTAAAAAATGAAACTTTTGCATCAATTTGAAATGACTGAGTGTCTGGGCACACCACTAGTAGGCCTAGTAATAACTTTGCATATATTATAATATTAGTCAAATGTATATTAGAATATGTGAGATATATACAACAGCTATGCTAATGGCCATAGTATAACATTAGTCAAGCTTATACCAATCTGATTAAAATACAGATCTAGTGTAGTAAAGACAAGTAAAACGAAATTTTGAACTATAAAAACGAAAAGAAATAGGATCTGTGTTTTAATCAGATTGAATTTATACTACAATGTGTGAGGTATATAAAATAGCAATGCTAATGGCCTTAGTATAATATCAGTCAAGTTTATATTACAATATGTGGGATATATATAAAATAGCTATGCTAATTGCCGTAGTATAATATTAGTCAAGTTTATATTACAATATGTGAGATATAACAATAAACTATAACACATACTTATGGAAGAACAATTACTGATTTATTTGGGCGACGTTTCGAAGAGTATTCTCTCAACGTTTTCAAGCAAGTACAGTAACAAATGTGTAGAGCAATTATATATAGACAAGCAATAACAACAATTCAGAAACCATGCATGACAACAACAAGATCAAAGGATTAAAAAACAACATGATCAAAGGCAATATACATATGTGAGATATATATAAAATAGCTATGCTAATGACCGTAGTATAATATACCTGATTACTATACCACCGTATATACTGACAGGACACTGATGAACAGAAGATCAAAATATGTTTCAAGTCAGTACCACGTAGTTTACCTGTTGAATACTATATTTAATATCACACTACCTATGAATGTACAACATGTATATATATATAGGTCACATGTTTTGTTATATTCATATACCTGACCAGGAAGTGTATCACGGTATTGAAGAAATTAGATAAAGTCCTCTATGGTTCGTTGAGCGTGAGAAATGAATTGAAATATGGTTTAACATCCTACTTTTCTGCTCCGACTGGGCCAATGAAAACGGGCATACGACAATTAGTGTGCTATGAGGGACAGCAGTGGTACGACCTACTCTTATATCGAATTCTAACTGCCAAAGTGGTTTTTACGTGCACGCCAATAAGTACACGGGATCTCGGTTGTTCGTCCGTTCCGAACGACTAGACATCTGTCTTTGTCATGTCCCAGGCCAACACCGGAAGCGAACTCGCGACCTCCAGACTAGCGAGCCAGCGTCTTACCCACATAGCCACCGTGGCTCCCTCGTTGGATGTGGGAGGAAACCAGACACCATTAAAAGCTTTACACAAGTTAGAACGACATACACTAACTACACACCGTATGTATTTTAATTCTCTCACATAATTCAATGTAAATTAGAGGTTTCCCCATACTACTGAAGGCCCCTGGCACTATGCAGGCATAGTTATTTAAACAACCCTTTATGGTAAATAATAGCATAAATAGTACACCATATGAAACAATTCTATTTATTTGTTTTGACGTTAATCAAACAAGTACTGCCACATTAAGACGCTGATTTGGCGCTGATTTTGTGACTATGGGGTGAAATCTAAAATCAGTTCAAGAATGTGTCTAAAATATAGACACTGTAATCTATCATGACTTCACAAGCTAGACAATGGATAAAAAAAACTAGATTAGTAAGTACAGGAGAACAAATAGTTTCCATTGGAATACCAATTACCAATCGACTAAACGGCAATTGAGGACAACTTTAACAGACTAGACTATGATCGTGAGCATACAAAAGTATATAAATACCGAACATAGACAGGTATATAAATACCGAATAAGTAAATTATCTCACCAGGTATACATGAATAATTAATTTTACTGTAGTTGCTATAACGAGCATCATTACATAGAAGGTCAGGTGCCCGTACTCCCTGCGTTTGACAGGTAGATTTATTTAGACAATTCTCTTGTAAAATTGATAAACGTTTCTTTGTCATGCGTAGGTAGGTCACCAGCTTCTTCTCTACATCGCGTGATGTCAGTACAGGTAACGGCATTTCACCTACACGTCTTCATCGAGTACACAGGTTGACCTCGGTTTTCCGGTTTAAGACGCCGTTTCCATGCTGGGCCCATTGAAGAAACAGTTATCCAGTATCCATATACTTAAACTATGATTCTCTTTCAAATATATCATGTAGCCTATGTTGAGTACACATAATAATGTTTGACCAACACATAATAATGTTTGACCAACAAGAAGTAATCCCACCAAAATTATAACAAAAGTGTGCAAATCTGATCATAATTTTAAACATAATATTCGAAAGGGATTTTAAAGAATACCCTAAATAATAGCTAAAACATACATACTTTACTTAATGATACCATTCTTGATATTGTAAACCAATTGGGAGATGCATAATTTGTACATGTACATTACTTTATAATGTTATTTATTCCAAAAAGCTAAACAAATAAATTTTTGTTACATCTGTCTGTAATAACATTTTGTTATTGCCACCGCCTGGAGGGTGTTGAAATAGTTATTTATAGACTGGTGGAAATCATATATAATAAAATTGTGTCGAGTGGGCGTTAAACTCCATTTCTTTCCCTGTGTCGTCATTGTTGTCATGGTCTCGATATTTCCGACTAAATCAAATTGTGCTAATTTGGGCAACTCTGGTCGCTTAGTGATCAGGTAGTTTTTCGTGCCCCTGTCATATTTGGTTGAAGTTTAGGTCCTTCTTGTTAAACAAAATAATAGATGACAAAAACATTTTAACCAGATTTTATTGCCATAGTAGCCTAAATCAATGATTTCTAACTGCCAGAAATTACACTAACAGGGATGGAAATGGAAATAATTTCTATGACATCTGCCCACTTGACCTATTAATGGCGCAGATGTGACGTTAGAAACTATTACTGCATGGAGAAGGTCGTTGACCGTATAATTAGTCGACAAATTACTAAACAAATCACTTTTTGATACATTGAATGATACAATCACAGCGAAAGTTGTCACAAATATCAAAAGAATTGTCCATCTCGATGATAAGGATTTTCACGCCACGAATCCGACCTTGAAACGTGGTCGCTCAGGAATTTGCGACATAGTAAATCTCTCGATACAACTGTCATAGTTTTAGTACACAACAGTTTCTGGTTTTAAAACAGACGTATATCCCTAAACTGACATGAAAACATGAATAAGAATCAGAAACCGGGTGTAAAATGACTTTTATGTTCATTTTACGACCACGGTATCGCATACATTATTTGAGTTTACACAGCGATAACCTGTAAATAATCGAGATAACTTTCATTCCGTGTTAAAAAACATATTTATGTTATATTACAAGATTACTGTATACTTTTTACAGCCAAACTGATAGTAAATTAACGATGATTTCTAACAGTCCGTTATTTTGTCAATTTGACGGCCTGGTGATAAATATATCTGTAACACTATTATAGTGATAACCGAATATCAGTTTCGTAGAGTTTATTTACGTCGGGAACAGAATATAAAACAGCACCATTTTGCCCTTCTGCCTCGGTCGCTCCTCTCTTCTCCTCCCCGGTCGTCTATCATCTGCGTCTTGTCTATCTAACTGTCAGTAAACTCGTGGTTATATAGCCCAACAATAAGGAAAAATTGATACGAACGGGATGCGAACTTCTTATAAGGAAGTCATTGCCATATATGGAGTTGTTTATTTACTACGTCATCGTATGTTTAAAACCGAGGTCCCGTGTACACATTGGCGTGTACGTAAAAAATCCCATGACAGTTGACATTCAATATAAAGGCAGGCCATCGTGTCGCTGCCCGGGCAAAATTTCCCCCATACCACACTATATGACGTATGCCCGTCTTCTTTAGCCTGGTATAGGAGTAGGATGATAAACCTCATTTCATTTATTTGACCATACCCAAATAAGTCTCACAACAGCAATATATACCTGCAACAATTGAAATAAACCATGGTAAAGCGTTACATTATAGTTTGTACATTGAGACTCATATATATTACACTAACAATATATTACACGTAAATTGAAACCAATTTGTACATAATCTTGTCGAATGTAACTGTATGAAATCCAAACGGGGTTTATATTCGTACATAATGAGGCTATCATGTTTGCCACATGCACGAAACTGGAGAACCTAATGATATAAAAACATTTATACACTATTTTATTACAATACTTTACAATACTCTTTTTGATTAATATATACGCTTATAAAGGACATTCATAGTCAGAGTTATTAAATACAAAAACATAATGTTATCTGGATTTCACTAGATAAATATGTGTGGTTATGGATGGTAAAACAGATATGTGATGATACAATATTTTTACAATGAAACCTCGCAAGTTTAGATACTATTTTTGTCGCTAATACGCCCGTGCTATATCGACTACAGTTGTTTTTAAAAATTAAACTGCATTCAGTTTATTGCGATTTTAAGTTTAAGGGGGCGTGTCTTAGATATATAATGTACATGTTTAAGTATACCACTAATAAAATTTGTGTGTATTAGACATCGTTTTATGTACCAGTTGTGTTGATATTACCCATATTATAATAACCAGTCTGTTCTCTTGTATTTAATGAATCATAAACAGCTACTGGTCCACGTCCAGTAGTTGAGTCATATTGATGGTCATAATCCCGGTTGTTTTGTTCAGTTTGAGTCTCGCCATTACCAGACGTCAATTGTGGACTGTCGTTAGTACTTTGTATCTGTACATTGGCTATAGTACTTGATCGTTGACCTTCATTAGCGTTCAATGAATCGTAAACAACACTAGTAGCATCTCCTCCCCTACTTGGCGTGGAGTAATGTTGGTGTTCACTTAGATGGACGTCTGATTCGTGCTTCAGTATCTTCAGTCTTCTGTAATTACAAAAATAACCGAAAGTATCTAACAAAAACTACGTTTTCTTCATGAAGAGAGGGAGAGAGGGGGAGAGAGATCGGGATATCGATGTTCACCAACCCACTTACTCCAAAGAATGATTAGTTCGACCCCCCCCCCACCTTCAACAATAAAGCTTTGTCATCATGTAATACGGATATCTTTTAGAATATAACAACATACCTGTCGACGAGGGAGAGAGAGAGATAGGGATATCGATGTTCAACTACCCCACTTACTAAGCTACAAAAGATAATTAGTTCGAAACCTTCCTTCCACAATGAAGGTTGGTCATCATGTAATACAGATATAGATTTTAGTATACTATAATTTACCTGTTAAAGTATATCACGAAGAGAATGTTGATTGAAATGCTGATTATTAAAGCTGTACCTAAAACTCCACCAATAATAACAACTATTCCTTTATCTGACTGTAAAACCTCACCATTAATACATGTTGCTTCATCATCTGGTGTTGATTCTGTTCACATATAATATTAGACATTATGTTAATATTATAACTAAATTATGTTAATAGTATTATCACTTTACATTATGTAGTACTACAATATTTATTACGTTTTTGTATCGCAAATTGCGACCTGACAGTATGATCCATGAACGCAGCCATTATACCACAATGCACCGCGCGGGGTGTCTGGGCCGAGAATATTTACGTGTTGTATGGGTTGTATGGTGTCTTGGCCGAGAATATTTACGTGTTGTATGGGTTTTAAATCTTGTTTGTATTGGTTAAGATTGGGATTATCGGTAATACTTTGGCCATATGTATAAACTAGAGATTCATGGTTTCACAACGATGTCAAGTAAGATTGACCCGTCGTCCTGCTGTGTGCGCAGAGAATATTAAGAAAAAAGAAACATATACGAATACAGTACTCTTACAAAACGTCACAATAAAGTTTCTTTAAGATCATTTATTGCTATTTTAATCTTTTGGTTCAATAGATAGTATCATAGACTCATCTTTGTGAAAATCTCAATTTCGATCAAAATAAATATGTTCACTTGTTTTGTTTCTAGCTCATTATTAGACTTTGCGCATCCCGACTCTGTTCCTTTATCATCTGGTGTTGATACTATTAACATATAATATTATTAATGATTGTAAACTCCACCAACTATATTTGTTGCTTTATTATCTGATGTTGTTATTATTATTAAAATATGATGTTATTAGATATTGTAAACTAGTATCGTCTTGTGTTGTGTGTCATAATGGACAATAATAAAATACTGTTTTAGATATTTAATATGTAACGTTATAAATTGATACTGAACATTAGTATCGCCATAGTAAAACATAATGTGTAATCTTGTAGACATGCCTTATATCGTATACGTCAAATATCACGACTATACTACATGGTAAGATTTATATGGCAGCATCTTAATTATAAGTAAGATTGAAATATATGTATGTGAACACAGAAGTGTTTAGTGCTTACCGCTAGGATCGTATCTTACAATTTAATTTAATTAACACTATGTATATACTTGTAGTAGTTGATATAGTTTAATCCATTGTGATGAGCAACATGAAATGTCAATTCAGGCCGCAAACTTTCCACTGGAAACAATTAATAGTATACCTTGAATCTGTATACTGGTACTGGTAGTTGTATCTTGAACATCTATTACTGTAGATGAAATAGTGGAATCAGCCACTGATGATGTATGATTGGTTGATAAACTCGCTAAATAAGAGACAAAAGGACGTTAAACACTTAATTGTGAGTGGTTATCATAGTGCCGTGTACTTGTATATCATTTAAACTGATTGATGTTCAAAGTAAATCTGGATTTCATATTTTTATATTTAACTAAATATTATAATGTAGAAATAAAACTAATATAATATAAACTTACCGTTTGTTACACACTGATATTCTATCTTGCTGTAAGAATGAGATCTAAAACTAAAATCACAATCTGGAGATATTTCATTCAAGCCATTATTTCTATTAAGAGTACAAGTTGATCTACCATTACAGGTTTGTTGTTGTTGTAATAGAAGAGTCTGGTTGTAAGATGTAAAACAATCTCCAGGTTGTTCTCTACAACATGTTGTATTACCACAGTTAGATACACCAAAAATACTACATCCTTGTCTATATCCAAACGTTATATTAGTTATTGATATAACCAATGGTTGTCTACAGATAAGTTTATGTTTAGTACATCCTATACCTGGTGTACCATAGCAAGCTGTACTGTTGTTAGCCATTGTTCTGTCTGTAAAGACATATATATATCTTGTATTATATAATTATTTATGCTATAAACCATGCATGAGTTGTGTATATTCTATCGTCTTCATGCAGTTATGAACATGGAACGATTTTTCGACTTGTCTTAATCGAAAGTCAGCTGCCAATTATATATCAAGTGTTTGGGGTTTTTTTTACTTGAAGTTGATTTTTCCTCCTATCCAAACGACTAAACGTTCAGTGTCTGACAAGAGAACGATATGCAATTTCGACTAGTACCTGGGTTTAACAAGGGATCTACTGGTTAGCTACCCAGCACCTTCCTACGCTCTTAGTCCCAGTGGCCCATCTGGGTGTATCCAGAAAATAATAACTTATAACATAAAACGTCAACACAACTGGATGTTTAACATATTCGATGCATGTACAGTTCGACTGGTCTTCTCAAAAGGTCATCCCAACTTTACTGCCCCCACTCACAAATATGAAATAAATTGTTTAATGTATGTACCCAAAAGTCCATTGAAACTTTACTGCTCCCACCGACAAAAACGATATAAATGATATGAAATGTTAACTTACTAAATGATATAAATTGTAAGAATATACAACCAGAGAGAATCAATCTGGTTATCATCTTGTAACGATCTAACACAGCTCCACTGAAAACATAAAAAACAGCATGATTTAAATACATTAATCAGTGGTCACGCACGGTCTGAATGTTGTCTAGGGAATTTTGAAAACTTGATATCATCAAGAGTATTAAATTGTACATTGGGCTTAGAAATTGAAAGTGATAGTTTATTATTTGACGATTCGCTGTATAAAACCAACACCTATCCAGTGTAAATAGCTAGTCGCTGGGTCACAGTATCTTACATATCGTTCATTCACTCGTAGGCTAGTAATAGCATATCATATATTATAATATTAGACAAGTTTATATGAGTCAGTTTTATTATGTGAGATATATAAAATAACTATGCTAATAGTCGTATTATAATATTAGTCAAGTTTATATAACAACGTGTGAGATATATAAAATAGGTATGCTAATAGCGGTAGTATAATATTAGTCAAGTATATATTACAATATGTGAGATATATAAAATAGCTATAATATTAGACAAGTTTATATTACAACATGTGAGATATATAAATGACCGTAGTATAACATACCTGATGACAATAAAACTATACTCTCTGCAAGCTACTGATAAACAGAAGATCAAAATATGTTTCAAGTCAGTGCCACGTAGTTTACATTAGCCGACGTATACTATATTTATTGTGAGACTACCTGTATATGTACAAATAGGTCACGTATTTTACTGTATTCATATACCTGACCAGGAAGTGTATCACGGTATTGTAATATTATAAATACGAGGAATGCATATGTGTATATTATATGCACCGTATTTCTTGCCGAATTTAGTTAATAGACAAATTTCGCTATGGTTCGTTGGGCGTGGGAAATGAATGAAATAGGGTTTAGCGTCCTACTCTTCTGCTCCGACTGGGCCAATGAAAACGGACACACGTCATTCAGAGTGCTATGAGGGACATTTTGCCCGGACAGCGGTGGAACGACATACCCTTGTATCGAATTCCACCTGCCAAGGGAGTTTTACGTGCACGCCAATGTGTACGTAAATGGATCGGATTCAACAATTTAAATGCTGTTATGTATAGCAGACCATCTGCGTACAGGTTACAACTCGTGTTATTTAAAGCAGACTGGAGCTCATGTATGATCTACTACGATGGATTTCAGGTAGGAAATAAATCATCTGGATACAGCTTTACTTCTAGTTCCATTTCATCCCATCCCTATCACGACTATTGTGGTGATTCATGTATTTTAAAGATGGTCACGCACATGCTTCTTAAGTAGTACAACTGAATTATCTGGCTTATTGTCTCCGTACGAAGAAGCTTTTAGGCCTGTCCTTAACTTGTTAAATTAAGTTAAGTTGTTTTGATTCCGATAAAATAGACGTAGTTCTATAATCCGGAAGCTAAATGGATCGATTTCGCAGAAAGAAATAATAAAAGGAAAATAATGGACAGTGATATTAACTGTCTGTAGGTGTAATGGATACTTTTATTTTGCAGAGAGCAAATGTAAAACGTTGACACGTCACAAAAACAGCATTTTCCGACAATAGACTTGTCATTTGACACATCACTTTTGACGTCTTATATTTAACTTTGACCTTAGAGGTATTTTAACTTTATCATTACAGGTATTAGGACTTTGTACATTGTACATTTTACATATAACCAATGGAAAATATATTTTAGCAGAACCTTTAATATTGGCCGCGATAAGCTTCCATATTAGGAGCACCGAATGCGGATTATCGAAATTGTGGTGTGTTTTGCCACGGTGTACTTTCTCGTAGCGTAGTCCTCACGAAAATGTATAATCTCAAATTTGATTATAAAGGGAAACTGCTTTTTAGTTTGAAATCGCAAATACGATACCGTGTTATATGTGATTGATGCACATCTACTTTCAGACCCGTCTACATTAGCCCAGTCGCAGCAGAAGAGTAGGATGTTTCTAAATAATGAGCTGAAGACCACCGGTATGGTATCAGCATTTCGGTATACCCCTGTATAATTCTTATAACCAGTATAGTCTAAGTTATGATGTATATTTTATAGTGTATTCCATGTGAGCCATGTAATAAATTAGACCCCATCCCATCTTCTGGGAGAGAGAGAGAGAGAGAGAGAGAGAGAGGCATTATTAATACGGCGCTGATACACTGATTAGGCGATGGTGGTGCTGGCCGTGAAAGTTCTGTTATTATTACAAAGTGGCTTCCCCTTTGCCACTAAGAGGTCAATAGGAAGAGAGAGAGAGATGGGGGTTATCTCCCACTCAACACAAACTAGGTCATTTCGGGACGAACATGGTTCAATTTTATTTCAATAATTCGCTTGCGCTAAGGAGTCTTTAGCGGTGAGAGGAAACCGGAGGATCAGGAAAAACACACGAGGTTGAAAAGGCGACACTACTCCTCGTCACATACATCCAGGGAACCGAAACCACGCCACTTCACTCAATGATAGACCTTATGATGCAAAACGCACGCGCTAACCATTCAGCCATCCATTAAATACAAAATACATATATGATATTAATCGTTTCTTATAGAGACCATCTTAATACATTAATATGGATTATCTTAAATGCATTTTAGGATTGTTTTTTTTTATAAAAATACAGAGTTCCATTAAAAGGGAATGTGTGTGCGTGACAATTAGCATTATCATATGGTAGTTGATATGATTGAACACGATACAAAACAGCACTGAAAACGACTGACTCTTTAATTGATGCGTGTTTCGGAAAAAGTCTAGGTGTTCAAACGGATGCTGGCATGACAATTATAGAGTAATATATTTACAAAAAGACAAAATTAAATTGTGAAATATGATGCAAATTTTGTATTTAGTCATCGTTTCGACGACATTCTATGTAGTCCAGACACATCCATCTTCAGACTATTCAGAAACCAAGATTATTTCAGATACGTGTGAGGAAAAGGATTTTCTGATATCAATTACTGCTCGTTCCAGTCTAGATTGTGGTAATACCTGTGGTGAGAATCCTGAATGTCGACGATTTGCGTTCTGTTCGTCTGATTCAACATGTAAATTATACCAACATGGTACTGATTGTATTATATCAGATGATTCTCCTAGTTGTACCTGTTACAGAAAGGTGAGTATTCAACATGTATATTATATCAACATCAGTACCGGATCTAGTGGGGTAGGGGCAAAATGGATTGGTGCCCTTGTCAGTAAGGGATATTGGGGGCCCGGGACTCGTAGGTACCAACAGATTTTTGGGGGCCCAGAGATCGGTTAAAAGGCCCTAAAATTAACTAAATTACATAACTTAGAGGTTCTACCAATCAATAGCTCCTAACCAGTTCCGGGGACCCCATCCTGCGGTGTGATTGCTGTGGCCCAACAAGTCCCGGGAAATTAACGTAATCATAGTATAGTAGTTCAGACAAATGTATAATCTGAAATGTTTCCAGCCAAAATTTTACGTTTTTTTTCTCCTTGTCTTTTGTTAGGTATTTTATGTCTTGATTTGACCTATGCTCAGTTAGAAAATTGGTTGAATTTTCTTAACTGTTGTGTGTTAACTGTTCTTGTTAGAAGTTTCCATATAGAACTCTTTACTGACATTCATTACTGATCGGAGTTTAATGTTTTATGTCACCTAAAATAATTTCACTAGAATAAAGTCAATGAGAAGAGAAAGAGTTTGTTTAAAATAAAGTCAAAGAATTATAAACATCAATGAAAATGAAATGAAATAAAATAGGGTTTAAGGTCCTACTGTTCTGCTCCTAAACTGGGCTAATGAAGACGGGCATACGCTATACGGTGTGCTATGAGGGAAATTTTGCCCGGACAGCGGCGCTACGGCCTACTCTTATATCATATTCCAACTGCCAAGGGATCTTTTACGTGCACACCAATGTGTACACGGGACCTCGGTTTTTCGTCCCATCCGAACGACTAGACAGCTGTCCTTGTCAGGCCCTCCGTCCTGCATCACTGACAAGGGGGAACCACGCCGGAAAATCTGGAGGAACTTTCTCGGCCAATGCAGGGATCGAACATCAATGAAATCGCTGCCTAAATTGTCTCAGATTCACTGAAATTAATCCCAGGCACTCAAGGGGGCGGAGTACATACTAGCACTATAAACCTCAGAATGCCTCGTTCGGCATTTCTGTCCAAACGAGGCAAAAAAGTGTCAAAGTGTTTGCCCCGATTTTGCCACGTTGTAACGAGGTAAAAAAAAATACCTCGTTTGTCTGGAGTTCCAAAACGGTGTTTTTTAAATCGCCCTGTTTTTCGACTGAGGTATTTTGTTCAGAACGAGGCTGGGTAAAATTGCCTCGTTTACTAAATGAGGTATTTTATCCAAGATAATTATTAGCTGTTTTTACTGTCAACAAATATAGCCATACAAATAATGTTCGGACCATCATGTGACCAATTGCAGATTTACAAATTAGATTATTTATTTAGGACATGATATTGTTCATAGTTATGGCTTACTACACTGGAGTTCTATTCTGTATAATAAACGCTTCCCAAGCGAAACAAAACATAACAATGTCACGTGACAATATTACATATGGCGGATACAAGCGTTCTTTGATTACATGCTGTTTGGTTTGATTTTTAAATAATACGGCAATCTGTATTTATGGGAAAAGGAGAATGAATTTCCCCAAATCGAAAACTAGATGACTGGATTATTTATTGAAGGGAAAGTGAATATTTTATAAACAAAAATATTCGGATTTGCAGTTTTCTAGCTTAGGTGGATTTGTGATTTGAATCTCGAACTCAGTGTTTTATACATTTTATTATAAAATTGTAATAAATGTTTTTCATGAATGAATAAAATCTACAATTTAAAACAGTACAATAACATTATGATTCGACGCTCTACAAATCACTAAAAGTATAACAATTGCTTGTTGAAAAAGTGTTACTAAAATGAATTTTTCAATGCAGCAAAACCTACTGGACTGTTTTACTTAACTTATTAGTTTTTAAACATATATTCAAAAAGAATGCGTCTTTTACATATTTCAATATAACCACAAATGGTTGATTGTTTTAATGCTTAGATAAGTATTAATGCTTTGTATTTGAAAATCAAATTATATAAGCGAAAAATATTAAGATACATTATTTATATCTTAAAACAACGCCCTTACAATATTTATCAGTTCACTAGTTACAATAAAATCATGCATTATAGCTATTTTTATTTATTTATCCCTGGTGCTTCAAATTCAATTTAGGGTGCATCAACATATTTAAAAATGTGTTTTAAAGCTTTAGCTCATTTTATTATATCTTTCTACCATAAATAATGCCCGAATTTAAGTATACCAAAAGTTAAAGAAGAAATATGACCAGTTTTTGAGTCATTCAGATATGACTGCCAAAATTGTCATCAGCACGCATGTTTTTTAGGCTAAAGTCTAACCAGAAAACTTAGTGTCAATACATAATAAAATTTATATTCCATTAATCAATTCCATTCCGCCATTGGTTTGTCTTAAACTCGGCATTTGTGTTCATGGGCATCAGGGTCGAGATGGCAACGTTATATGTTTTATTCGTCTAATTTACTATAAAACACCATTCGGTTCGCGTCACGGCTTAACGGCATATTAATACTTTATTCACTGAGATGGTTCCTTTACTTGTGGTTTATTTTTCGAATTGCTTTTTGTATTTATTTACAGAGGTT